CTCCTCAATCGGGCGACACATCATTTTTCATAGCCCAAAAAATTTTCTTACTAGCTCTGAATTATTGTCAGGTGGGGTCTATACACTAACCGTCCCCACACAAGAAATCAAACAGGGCGTCAAGTCGAGAGACCGTGGTGGACACTATTGCAACCCGCCTGCCACTCGCATTTCTCGGATACCATCGATTAGGCCGTAGTCTAGCGGACAGAATATAATGTAGCGGAGCACCATCTTGCTGAAAGTGCAAATTTCTTCATCTAGCGGCGAAAGTGCAAATTTCTTCATCTAGCGGCGTGTCTCTACGCTCAAATTTGACTAATGGAGGGACAATAGAGGAGCGCATACAAAAATATTTGGAGCGCAAACAGGCGCATTCGGAAAAATATCTTTTTCGCAAATTGGGGACAGTTGTTAAATCCCCCCTCCCCCCAATTTGTATAGTAATTTTGAAACCGGCCGCGTGCAAACAAAGTGCAGTCGTATCTCAACTATTTTTAATGATAAGACTTGCGGTTTTCGCGACACTGTGCCACTTTTTTGTGAAACTTTTTAATACCACAAGCCGAGCCACAAGGCGAATCAAACTAAGAGGAGGGTGAAAACGAAAAGTTTGACTTTTTGGGATGTTATCACATACTCGTGTAAAATAGAAAAAAGGTAAACACTGTTTATTTTAGATATTTTTACGTAGAATCCAGTGGCGTAGTTAAACAAAATTTTTGGACAACCCTTTCTGAGATTCATTCAAGTTGGTAAATTTGCTTGTGAATGTTCTCACGTAATTTCCCTATTTATTCATTGACCAAAAAATCCTCCAAAGTGATGTCGCAACCTAATCTCTTGGTCCATCAACGAACAAATGTATAACCGTCTGACCCGCTAAGCCGCATTTTCCTAATTCCGATAAATAAACAAAACATCTACGAAAAGCTATAAGCAGACACAATTTTTTCCCACCGAAATTGCGGCATAAATAACGCTTGTGAGTTGTGAGATCTCTTGGTAATAGAAAAGGAATAA